AAAAACTGCAAAAAATATTTTATCTGATTATCTCAAAATATCACCCAAAACATGCCTTACTATAGCCTTACCATCGTGAAAAAAAACGCAAAAAAATAAAAAGTCCCAGAAATGCCTTAAAATGCAAGATTATGTCCTAAAACATGCTGCCAAGTGAATTTTTTGTGCTAAAAACTGCAAAAAATATTTTATATGAATATTTCAAAAATCACCAAAAACATGCCTTACTATAGCCTTACCATTGTGAAAAAACGCAAAAAAATAAAAAGTCCCAGAAATGCCTTAAAATGCAAGATTATGTCCTAAAACATGCTGCCGATGTATTTTTAATTCTCAAATGTACAAGAAAATTGGAAATCTTACCAAACACTTTGTGACATCTTTCATCTGCCTTTGACACTTTGTACTTTTACCTCAAGTGCAAAAATGTAAGAGGAAACAGAAAACATTTCACACTAAAGTGACTTCCTTTAAAAACATTTATTCTTTGTTTCACCCTCCTCACAGCGTGGACATGAGACACACCCAGTTCTCAGTCTCCCGTCACCTGTGTATCTGATCATTTACATACACAAACCACCAGTTCAAGTGGAAGGACCATCTTTGTTTCTGTTCCCGATCAGTTGAGTGCAATTGCGACAGATGTTGGGCAACAGACCAATAGTCATGCCCCAGCCTCATGTACTTCACTGAGGCTGAGTCTTATGACTACATGTTACTGACACTAACATACAGAGGGACATGATCTTCAATATTTTATTTAAAAAAAAAACAAACATTCCAATAGCACCAATCCTCTCATCACTTATGTGCAAAGATGGACTTAAAGAGCAAAAAAAAAGAAAAACAAATCTGTCTGATTTTACCTTCTTTGAGAGCAGAAGCTCATGACACTTAAATAAATAAATCAACATCAAATTAATCTTCTTTCTTTTTTTTTTTTTTTACATCACACACAGTGTGAACACTGCCGGTGTTTAAATCTGCTGCCATTCATTGCACATGATGATACAATCCACATATTCACCTTTACCAGACCACACTGTCGATTCATGGTTACGTTTTCATTCCTTCCCTTGTTTTATGTAACAATGCCAAATGGTTAGAAAAACAAATTCAGAATTTTGTTAGTACACAGTTTACACAACAAAAGCCGAAACCATGATGCATCACAACAACGTTAGAAGAAAAAGGTTTTTAAAAAACTACTCTTTTGTACAACTAATGTAATCAGTTAACAAAACAGTAAATACACGTAATGAACCATGAAGAGAAAAAAATCCATGCACACCTGTTAAAAACAATCTCCAATGAAATGTCATAAGCAAAAAAAAAAAAAAACAAGACTATAAAGAATTGATAAAGGTCAGTAAGTGCTTCGTGTTTTCTGATGGTCCAGTTTGATTCCAGTTTCCCAGGTTGCTTCAACACCCTCAGTTGTGACCTGATGTGAACATAATACTGTTTAAAACAAGATTAAACTCCAAATAAATACTAGAGTTTTTTCATCCTTCATAAACAGGGTCTAATACAGCGTAAAGGGCACAGACCTGTGATGTATTTTGCACCAATCAACATCATCATGCTGCCGATTATGTAAAATCCCAGAGGGACGCTGCAGAAGATGCTGGGTTCACCTTTATGGAAGAGACAGCAGTAACAGATAGAAGTCAAACCTTGTGCACGACTAAGAGGTAAATTAACTGGTTTCAAACAGACTTCTTAGATAAATGTCTGAAATGTCTGTTGATGTTGTTTCCTACCATTTAAATTCCCAACAGGCTCTGTCGTCTCCCAGTTCATGGATTTCTGAACGGCTTTTTTCCACCTAGCATAACGCAGTTCACTCTCTGCCACACAATCACAAAACACTTGTTAACCATTCTTTTTCTTTACGAACAATCTCAATCTGTTTTTCAGATGAATTGGCCCCTTATCGTACCTTCAGGGTTAATCTGAGGCTCAAACTTCTCCGATGTCACTTCGCTCAGGTCCTCTGGACTTAGACTCCACACACTGACTCCTTCTGCTGCTCCAGCTGCCATCGCTGCTCCGAGCGCTGTGGTCTCAGGCATGGACGGCTTCACTGAAAACACAATTTTTGGACGTTTTAAAGACCTTCACTGGCGATCATTGTAAATGTCTGAATCGTAGATGTAAACGTCAAGTTTATGCACTATTGGGTATTACAGTGGGGAGAATGCTGTAACAACTTTGTCTACTATCTATAAAACTTTTAGTAATTCTTTTTTAAATTTTCGACAAAATCTTAAGTTCGCATGACATGTTGGTCAAAAGTTGAAAAATGTTCATGAAAATCTTTTGAAAAAATAATCTCATCAAATTACAGCATTTTGAAAAAAAATTTAGAAATCTTTTTTTTATTTTTTCAGTAAAATCATTATGCCGCATGTTTTGTTAACAGTTGAAAAATGTTCATGAAAATTGTGAATGAAAAAAATATTTTCAAACTGTTATGTTTTCTGCATGTTTTTTCATGAAATTACAGCATTTTGAAAAAAACTGTCAATTTCATGAATAAACAATTTTAAAAATGTGTTTTCTGCAAGTTTCTCATCAAATTGAAGCATTTTGAAAAAGATTTTAGTTATTTAATGTTTTCAGTAAAATCCTTATTTCGCATGTCATGTGGGTCAAAAGTTTAAAGTTTTCATGAAATCTTTTGCAAAGTAAAATCAAATTAAAGCATTTTGGAAAAAAAAAATTGAATTTTTTTGAAATTTCATTTTTTTTTTCAGTAAAATCGTAATTCACAGGATTTTTGGTCAGATGTTCAAAAATCTCTCTTTTTAATTTAAATTAGTTTTTTACAAAATGTTATGTTTTTGCACGCTTCTCATCAAATTGCAGCATTTTTTACAATTTTTTTGGCAAAATCCTAATGATGCATGTCATGTTGGTCAAAAGTTGAAAAGTTGTCATGAAAAGTTTTGAAAAAAAAAATCAAAATTGTATGTTTTCTTAATGTCTAAAATAATAAAAATAAGAGCATTTTGAAAAGTTAATTTTTTAAATTATTCAATAAAATCCTAATTTTGCATGTAATTTTTAATTGCATTATTTTATTTATTTGTTTTACATTTTTTGCATGTTTCTAATAAAATCAAAAAAAATATTTATTTTTTTTCTAGAAAACTACAATTTTTTGGGGGGGGGGGCAGGCTAATGACCTCACCAACAGGAATGCAGAGAATGTCGGCCTGCAGCTGCATCAGCAGCCTGTTGGACGTCATTCCTCCATCCACCTGAAGCTGCGTTAAGGGGATACCACTGTCCTGATTCATGGCGTCCAGTATCTACAGGTGAGAAACGTCTTATTATTTTTTACATAAGTACTGTACATACAGTATTTGTTTCAGATAAGATGAACACTTGAGAAATTACTTCTCGCGTCTGAAAACACACGGCCTCCAACGCAGCAAACGCAAGATGTCTTTTGTTAGTGAACTGAGTTAATCCACATATGATCCTGTAAAACACAAAGGTTCAAAATACAACGTGAGGCCTTCCTTGATTTTCTTTTTCAGTATTACTCCATCACCATCTAATTCTGGTCCTTACCCTCTGGCACTGGGCTCCCAGTACGGTGCATAAAGGCCTGAAAATGCAGGAACAAAGTAGCAGCCGTAGGACGTACCAACTGAAGCTGCCAACTCCTCTTTAGAGGGATGCAAACAGAAAGAAATTATTCGACTAAAAATCTGAGACTTTCCAACACTAATACAGCAGTGACAGACAGACAGGATATGAACTCACCAAGCTCTTCAGAAGATTCAATGATGCCCAGATTGTCCTGTAGCCAACGAACCACCGCCCCAGCGATGGCTACAGAACCCTGACAGGGACAGCATGAAAACCTTTTTACCCAACAGAATAATCAATGTTGTCGAACGACACCAGATGTATGTCAGTGTGCTACCTCTAAGGCATAACACGCCGGCTTGTCCCGACCAAGTTTATATGCCACAGTGGTCAAAAGGCCGTGGTCAGACATTACAGGCTGGGCATAAAGAAAAGGAAATGTCACACAGTCATGTAGTGTGGGGGAAAGGAAATTCAGACTCTGAACTTCATACCTTAGCACCAGTGTTTCGCAGGAGAAAGCAGCCAGTTCCGTACCTGGAAGACATGAGGGATTTAAATTGTAACTAGAGGAACAAATAAAAGGAATTTCCCCAGGGGAGAGGAAAACAACACAGAAGTTCTTACGTGTTTTTGGCCTGGCCGTCCTGAAAACACATCTGTCCCACAAGAGCTGCTGACTGATCCCCCAAACACTGGTTGTGTTTATGAAAAAAAAAAAAGAAAACATGGTTGATTTATCAAAGACGTCAATCAGGAAGTATTGTCAAAAAACTCAAATATATGATGAAATATATGAACCTACCCCTGAGATAGGAATACCAGACAGAGCTCCAGATTTCTGGGAAAAACAAATGGTATCGGGTTAGAAGATTTACAAGTAATAAAATAAATTAAATTTGACAAGAAAAGAATGTGTTATTTGGCTGCAGAGAGTCAAATAAGTGGTTCTAAAGGATGGGATTTAAAAAAAAAAAAGAACGAAAGAAGGTTGTGATGTTGGACATGTTTAAGGAAATGTCTTCACTCCTACAACAAGCTGTGGCTCTGGTGGTTCGTGTGACAGCAGGGAAGTTGAAGAGAAATAATATAACAGCTGTGACAGAGAGTGAAGAGATTCAGCCATAGTTTGTACGGGAGGACACTTTTACCAGGAGACACTAGGAGTTTCATGCCATTCAGTAAAAGAAGCAAATACTGTATGAAAAGAAAAAAAGAAAAAGAAAAAAAGTCCAGTACATTTCCAAATGGATTGTTTGCTGTTTGACCTTGATTTTGCAACAAATCTGTAGTATGTAGTACTTTTACTTTTATTATTATTATTATTATCATAATTTTGAAAACATGTACACGTTGTCGGCAAATTTGCGGCTTCTTTGACAACAAGTAGAAAGAGTTGAAGAGTACTGTGATTCGTCAATGCAAACTTTATATGAATTTTTAAAATGATATCGACATAATGGCTGCACTAGCTATATTAATAACGTATAAGTGATGTATGGCTTTAAATATAGAGTTAGTTGTTGTAATCTTTGCTCTCTCCTATAAATGGGAAAGACACACACACACACACACACACACAAAGATATGCAGATATTAGAATTTTAGCAGCAGGGGAATTCATTTTACATCACTGTTAATGTTTTACATTTTTAATCATTTACATTTAAATTTCAGGTTAGCTGTAGTTTAATCATGAATAATTGTGATTAATCATGATCATAATTAATCATGAACCCCATAAACCCATATGAGTCGACATTCCTAAATAGGACAAAACTTTTTTTCGTGTTTCTACCCATTTATCGGCCCTACCTCGCCACGACTTTTCTAAATGTGAAGCAAAAACATGAAAAAATAAACCTGTCAAAAACAGCTTTGCTGCCTTTGCTTCTTGGAAATGCACTGAGTGATGCCGTGTTCGCCACAGGCCAAAAAGCAGCCAGAAAACTTCAGGTGACAGTAATGGAGAGTGTAACACTTACCCGACTAGAACAAATTTTCTACCAGTGAGAAAAAGGAGACAATGGCACACACAGAGAAAAATGCCTAAAGAGAACTGTTCACTCAAACGTCATGCACATGAAACAGTCTCAGGTTACACTTGCAATTACATATTTGGTATGCAAATCAAAGGTAATATCAAAGGTAAAAAAGTATATTTTTTCTGAATTTTAACCATGTGAAAGCGCAGAGCTCCATATTTTAAGGCAAATCAGTTCATTCATTTTATAGAAACGTATTTTTGAAGACTTTCAGAAACTTATTAGTATAGTATAGTATAAACATGATGTTGAGAAGGACTGACTTGTAATATATCAACAGGTCATCTTACCATGAGACCATATATTTCTGAAGAACTCCTCACTCTGGGCAAGATCTCCATGGGAACGCCAAAATACCTGACAGAACAAAGACGAACAAAGAACATAGAGAACAGAGACGACTGGGTGTTTTGAATTTGCTAAAATGAAATGATTAGAAAAAAGTGCAGTTAAAAATTAAGTAAAACTTCAATTTAACATGGTATTAACTAAAAAACGGTCAACAATATAACACTTTAGACATTAAACACAAATGGTGATGATTTAATTTGCCAAGACAGACGAATATAAAAAACAGTCCTATCTGAAAAGGATTTGATTAAAATTCTAATAGTAGGTACTTCAGAAGGCCATACTAAAATGCATGAGGTCCAGATAAGTACTACAGGGTGCATGGAACTATACACACAAAAAAGATCTGTCAGAATTTTTTTTTAATAATATCAAAAAAAATATTATTGTTTTTATATCTAATTTGCAGCATTTTCTCAGAGCAGCGCAATGGAATGGTTGTACCTGCAAAGTTCTGGGTCCCAGTCCAGAGTGTGAATGTTGAAGAGCATGGTCCTGCTGGCGTTGGTCACATCAGTGCAGTGGACTCCGCCCGATTTACCTCCAGTTAAACACTGCCGAACAGCAACACAACAGGTTAATACACTGTAGTCTATGTTCAGACTGAGAATCTTCCGTCAGACTCGTACCCAGATGAGCCAGGAGTCGACAGTGCCAAACATGGCGCGTCGAGACACCACAGCTTCATGGACCTCCCGTACATTGTCCATCAGCCAGCGGAGCTTCACAGCACTGAAGTATGTGCTGATGGGGAGGCCTGTTTTATGCTGCGGGCAACAGTCAAAGAAAGTACAGCTGTGAAAAGGTAACAAATCCACGTTTGGAATTGGCTGGAATTAGAATATCTCACCTTAAGATGGTTTTTATTTCTGCCAGGTGTTTTGTTTATAAGACGTTCGACTGTTGACTGAGTTCGAAGATCCAGCCACACTGACCAAAAAAGGCGGTCATTCAACAACAGCATTACAGGATACACACAGTATTTAATTTTATGAAATCATCTATAAACTGTTCCCACAGAAGTTTGTAGTCTTTTTTTTAGAAGATAATTGTGTTGTTCAGTGATGCACTTTCAACCTGCAACATACCCCAGAAAATCAAATCAAAAGATCAGCGGCATGTTCACCATGGAGTTGTGTTCCTATTCTTTAAATTGTCATTTTGAAACATTTCTGATGATGTGATTCTTTAAATTGTCATTTTGAAACATTTGGGAAATGAGGATACTAAATTCAGTCATTTCGAAAATGATTTTTCTGCCCAGTCTCCAGCTGCGGAACAGGAACCAAGCAGCCAAGGACAGTCAAACACTTCCTTCAATAGTAGGCAGTAATATCAGGTTTCTGTTATTGAACCTTAAATAATAAACACCCTAAAATGTCTCAACCCACAGAACAGAGCTTGGTTCATCAATAAACAACAACTGGAGTTGTGATGGCCTGGAATAACCTGTTGCTAGGGCTGCACGATATGGAACAAGACTGACTTTGAATTTTGTTTGTTTGTTTTTGCGATGTATATTGTGATATTTCAAAAGATCTCATCAGATGACCTGAATAGCCAAATCTATTTGGAAAATGTTAGGGTGATTCACCAGGTTCAACGACCTCACATGCTGTGCCCTAAAATAAAGAAGCTCATCTGTGAATGACTGATATTGTTGGTTTATAACAGGTATCCAGGAAGCCATGTCTCTGTGATCCTGATTAAAACAGAGCATTAGGGGTGGAGGCCTCATTCACATTAGGGAATTTACACGAGTGACAAAATAGACATTAATAAACACTAATTAGTATTAGTAATTATTATGTGTATATGTGTGTATGTATATATATATATATATATATATATACCTATATATATATGTATGTATTTATTCTTCCAATTACCGTATTTTCCGCACTATAAGGCGCACCTAAAATCTGAAA